GTCAGGGTTTTCTCAGGCTTTGAAAATCCTGTCTCCGAACTTGACTGCTCAAATGCTTTAAAGTTTCCGAGATCTAACGCTTTGTATGATTTTTTAAAGAAATTTTCAGAAATCTTATAATTAATAAACCTGATAAAATTCGAAATTGTCAACCTTCTGGTAGGCTGCTGTCAAGGTCTTCTCTAGAGGTTTATGTCTAGACTCCAATCTTGAGCTGTTTTTAAGCTGTTAACAATGTTAAAAACTTCCTTGAACTTGAACTTTTTTGTGGTATTTGAATTACAAAAGGTATAGTTGCACTATAGCCGAAAAAACCAAAGACTAATTCCAACCAACGAAATAAAATGAACGAGGGGTATTCTAAAAACACGAAAAATGTGTATTATCGAAAAAAAGTCATCTGCAAAAGAACTAACGGAAAGTTTTCAAACTGCTATATTGATGATAAAAGCAACTGCACAAGGATCTACGTGAATACCTAGAAATTTAATTAAATTGGCGAACAAAGATAAGAAACGAGGCTCCCACTCAAATGGTCGAAAAACGTGTCCTTTTACAACGCGATCAAGGGTTTCTACAAAAAAAAAACATTCTACACTGAGCAAACAATCCGAGCAATATGAGGTCAAAATAACTTACTAATGCTTTTTGAATAACCCGATGGAATTGACGAGGCTTATAACATTCAATAATCGGTATGGAAAAAAACTGAGCTAAATGATTACCATTGAGAGCAATCGCGTGATTACATGTAATTTCTATTTCTATCTAAGAAAAAATAACACATTGAACCCTTCTCGTATTATGAATGAATGTCCGACCAGACCAATTTAGCACCAGTAAATGTTAAAAATAACATTCCTTTCATGCCCAGTTTGTGTTTATTTCCCTCTTCAAACGAAGCACAATTCCTTTATTTTTCATGGAATAAAGCCTTTCGACGCTTTACAAAGAATAGTAGAAGAAGAAAGGATGTTAGTGTTAGGAACTTTGTTCTTTTTGGGAAAAGCACCTCATCTGGGAGGCATAGACAATTTTTAATTTGAAAAGCGCAAACATCTCATTTGGCTAATGCAAATATTACATTAAAAATATACTTCCGACTATATCGTGTTAGCTGTAGTTAGCTATATTTAAATGCGGGCTTCAGAAAATTATATTGTTCAACTTCGAAAATTTTGAAATTCTCAACCATGTAATTAGTGTTTGTCAGGGTACTCTCAGGAATTGCAAATTTTGCCTCCTAAGGTGACTGCTCAAATGCTTTTAGTTTCCGAGATATGACTTTTTTTTAATGATTTTTGTTTTAAAAGTTCTCAGAAAACTTAGATTTGCTAAGCTCCACAAACTGTTAATTTGTCAACTCTGTAGTTGGCTACTGTTACGGTCTTCTCAGGTTTTGCAAAACGGAACTCAAAATGTGACTGCTCCGTATCCGTAATTTTCCGTATCCGAGGTTTGACGTTTTTAATTTATTCTTTTTAAAACTTGGATTCAAAATTTGCAAAGTTTGAAATTCCCAGCCTTGTAATTAGGTACTGTCAGGGTTTTCTCAGGCTTTAAAAATCCTGTCTCCGAACTTGACTGCTCAAATGCTTTAAAGTTTCCGAGATCTAACGCTTTGTATGATTTTTTAAAGAAATTTTCAGAAATCTTATAATTAATAAACCTGATAAAACTCGAAATTGTCAACCTTCTGGTAGGCTGCTGTCAAGGTCTTCTCTAGAGGTTTATGTCTAGACTCCAATCTTGGCTGCTCAACGGCTTTTATCTTCCTAGATTTGACGTTTTTTTTTAAGTTTTCAAAAGTTTTGAATAAAAAAGTTAATTTTCAAATTTTGAAATTGTTGACTATTGAATGGTGTGCTGTCAGCTTATTACTAACAGTTAAAGGTTAAGTCTTCATCCTAATTTTATTGGCTCAATCGTTTTAAGCTTTCACGTTACTTTGATATTTAAAGAATTTTCATTTAAAAAAATAAAACTAAGTTAAAAAGAGTGATATTTTTAAAAACTTTATGCGCCGGGTTAAACATTTGATGACAGCAATAGATATGCAAACGGACTAAGGATAAAAAGAGCCAAGTTAAACAAGAATCTCATTTATGAATTGAGTGATTTTGCAAATAAAACGGTTTCAAAAGTTTTTTTATTTATGGAAAGTGCAGCTGTAGGCTGTCGGCCATTTCACGGTTTTTCGTGGGTTAAAATTACGAAAATCCTAAACCCAGTAGTTTTGGATATTTCTCTATTCCAGTTTAAAAAGAACATTTCAGTTGAAATTAATTGTATTGTTTAATTTTCGAAATAAAAGCGTTGTTCGGTGATCTCGTCTATTGTTACGGTTGCTTTCGTTTCGTTGTTTTTCTTATATTTCATATTGAGGAAATTTTAACCTTCATTAATCTGTTAGAAGCACCGGAAGTGCGTTGCACGCTAGTAAAAGTTAGACATGGAAGTGACTGCCGTTTTACATTTCAAAAAAAAGCTCAAGAAATTGGATAAAGTTAGCTTGATGATTACCTTGACGTGGAAGGTAAAGAACTTTTTATTGGTTTGGATATTTTCTTTCAGCTACAAAAAATATCTAGTGAATTATGGTTTGGTATTTTTAAAAACCGCATACAATTCAAACCGATAAACTTTTTTGTTGTGGACTAGTAAGATAAAAAATTGTTTTTGTTCGTACTTTTGTCGCAAAAAAGAACTTCGAAAACTGAATGCAACAACGAGAATTTAACCGTTATTTTCTTGCAAGTTTTTTCTGATGATCTCTTATGAAGTAAAAAAAGCAAAAAGATATAATTTCACTTTAAATTGCCCTGAAAAATAGTAGGAAAATTTCGAGAAGAACTAGAAACTGAAGATCCTACCAAATTCTTCATGCGCGGATAACTGGGTTATCATGGTGTAAATTCAGTCTCATTTTTTCACGACTACAATAACAATGCAAACTAAGAAAAGAACTAAATGTAAATTAGCGGCTGAAATGAGATCAGATTTGCTTCAAAAATGTTTCTTCGTAAGATTTCACTTTTTTTCAGCAGATTTTTTGAGGAAAGATTTCGCTAAATTTTTGATGTTACGTTTTCAATGCCGCCCAGGAGATTAAGAAGCAACAGAGTTGAAGAAAGTTGTCACACTGAACAATTTTTTTTCTTGTTTAAAAAGTGTCAAATCGCATGATCGAAAAAGCCTGCTTTTTCGAAAAAGTGTTCACTTCCAAACAAAATTTACTATAAATGGTGAAAACTGGCATTCTCAGACGTGGAAAAACTGTTAAGTGGTTCAAAACAAAACTGAGTTGAAAAGTTTAAAATGTTTGTTAAAAATTAAGGAAACAATTGTCCAAAAAGGTCCTTGAAACGATGCATGTTTGAGCGTAAAAACCTGCTGTTTGCGTTTGATTTTGTCCACTTGTGTACAATGCGGAGATATGTGCGTAAAAAACATGAATGTGAAGTCTGAAGGCGATGATAGGTTACAATGAGAGGCCCCTTGCAAATTTCACAACATTATCTTGATAAAAAAAACTTTTTGCTCAAGAGTGCATTGGTACTCTTTGTAGCGCGCTCACGAGTTTCGAACCGACAACCAAATGATGTAAAAAAAGAAAGAAAAGAATTTATTTTTCTTTATTAATGGTAAATATGCATATATAAACATTGAAACCAGAAAAAGTGAGGGGGCAGTTTTGGGTCTTCATTTCGGGTACAGAGGACTGCCCGTTTTATCAAATGAAATACGAAATTTGAGATCTTCAAGAAAAGGAAAAATATCTAAATCTGAAAACATTAAAGAAAATATTGGAAAAAAATACTAAAGTTTGAATAAACTTAAAAGAGCAGATTTATGGCATTTTCTAGTGAAAGAGGCTTTAAGCGAAAGCTGCTAATTTTTGTTACGACTTTGAAGAAAGTGCGGAATATTTACGATTGGTGTAGTTTTTTCATTCAGTCAATTTCGACTAGTTCACTAAGCGTTTTTGACAGAATTTTTTTGTACCATCTGAAAGATATTGTTGCCTTGAGCTCAAAAATGTCTAAAGATATTTGCTCTGTGATCTTTTTTTGTAAAGTTGTTGAAAAAACGGTTTTTGAAAATTGCTCAATTATTCAACCAAAAAAATTATTAGACCTTAAAGTGCAGTCAGAACATTTTTGGCTTTGTTCTGATATACGAGTAGTGTTGTTGTTCCGATTTTCGAAGAAAACCGAATATTTATGCTTGGGGTGATTTTTTAAAACTAGTCAATTTTCGGCGATGAAATTAATAGTTTTTCACAAGATAAAATTTATACCGCATTGAAAATATTGAATCCCTAAAGTCAAAAATAAAACGATTTTGTACCTCCGATCAGTTTTGCAAAGTTTTGGAAGTTTGAAAACTGCCAATTTAGCCATTCTTTGGACGAATTTATGCGCGTTTTGAATAATTTATTCATAATGCTGAAATCGTAATGCGAAATATTTATCCGTGGCGAGTTATCCCACCCAACAAAATCGTTCCAAATTGAATTGAGGCTAGCTAATCGGACGTATTAATTTTGTACTACTCAAATTTGTACACTTGATCTTTGATTTTGTCCAAAAATTATTGTTTTTCTAAAAAAATTTCTTAAAAACTATTCGATATAGATTAAGGGGCAGTCGGAACATTCAAGATTTTGCCCTGATATACGAGCAGTCTTGTTGTAATCTAGCCCCAGTGAAGTAATCTTGCACAATCGTAACCCACCGCAATGTTCAAAGTGAAAGCAACTATTGGTGCGGAGGTTAATGGTGCAATGGGTTATTCTTACGTGTAATGAAGAATCGATAAGATATCACGACCATCCGGTCATAACTTGGTCATAAACCGTTACACTGGTTAAATATTGCGGTGACATCAAATGCTTCCATCATCACATCAGTAGTTTTTCCGCATAGATCACAGAAAGTTTTTTAGATTAATATTGACCAAATGCTATCGTAGATCACGAAGTATATTGACAATCGATCACCAAGTTTAATTAAAATCGATCGCTTTTTTCTTACTTTTCAGGTCTATGGATTGGAATGTCAACTTTGAAGTCCAGTCTTCGACGGAACCATCGGCTATACTGAAAATCAATAGGCTTATGTACATGTGAACAGTCATTTTGTCCTCCAACTTTCCTCAAATGGACCCAAATTTCCCTGTCTTGTTTCCACTGGATTTAATACTTTCGCCGGATTTACAGGAACTGTGAGACGTCTCAGTGTCTCGTGTAATTTGCTCGAAGCATTTTCCGATCGATTGATTTATTCTTCTATCTAGGTAAACAATTAGACGAGACCCGTTTCTTATCGGAACTAAAACTTCAAACTTTACTCTCACAAATTTTATCAAAGACCTGTGAAATTTGAGCACATCTTTGATACTTTGGGCTTATGAGATAATTTCAAAGTTTTACCACCAGTATACCATCGAATTATTGCAGGTTAATTACTATTGCGACTTTACCAAAACTGAGATCATTTTATATTAAATTGACAGCTAGTTTGAAAATTTTGAGAGTGAACATCATTGATAAATGCAAGCAATTTAAATTCAAAAGTCCGAAAGCCATATTTTCTCAGTTTAAAAAAATTTTCAATGGATCCGTGAGTTATTTTGCAAGCTAATGGAAAAGCAGAAAATTCTTTTTTCCAAACATTTAATCTGAAAAACTTATTTGACGGGAAAAAGCTGCAGTGTGATTTTATAAAGTTACCGAGAGTACAAAATTAGAATTGACTCGGAAACTTAGTCAAGTTTGAGTTACTCAACCGACCGTGTAAATATTGCCAAACACTCCAGTTTAAAGGTAAATTAAACAGGATTGTCTTTCTCAACGGAAATCTTCATAGAAGCAGGAAATTGATTCAATTTCTACCTTAGGTGCTCGTTAGACATGGAGAAGGAATATCGGCAATCTCCCAGAACGGAGTTGGGTAGTAATAGTAAGAAAGTATTGATTGAGAAGCCTTACAACAAAACTGCGGGAGGTTTAATCAATCCCGAATACATTAGTGGGAAAGAGTCATGTGAACATGGTAATAACAGCCACGTTGGTATCTCAATAGCTGAAACTAAACAGAACGTTTCCGTGCCAAAACACAGAAATATTTTACCTAACAAGAACCAAATCCTCACCGACGGAAAAGTGGAAAATACACGTGTAACAGGCGCGAACATTGACCGCAGTTCCCTCAATAGCCCGGTTCAAGACAAATCGCCCGCAGTTTTACAGAAGAGACCTAAAAGTGCCCTAGTTCTGCACCAGAAGTCAAACTCTGATATCGAAAAGCGAAACGAACCTGTAAAAATTGAGTCGCCTGGGTGTAATACGTTGTACCAACAGGTAACAAAACAACAGTTTGTGGTCACAAGGAAAAGCAATTACACTTTGTACACATCGCCCGATCAGAAAGGGAAACTAAGCCGAAACTCCTTACAGCCGAACACGAACAGCAACAATCCGAACGGGAGTTTCAGTCGATCAGAAAGCAGCTTAACAGAAGCGATTGTTGATTCCTCAGCTGTGAAAAATTTAGCCGAAAGTTCAGAGCGACTATCATGTGAGAAAAGCGAATCTGAAGTTACCTTCATTAAACATGGGCAAATAATTCACTTGAGAGAAAAATCAGAACAAAAGAAACTTGAAAAACAATCGTCGGCTTCTGAAGGTCAGTTTAGTTCGGTTCTGTTATTGTGTGAACAAAAAGGTTCCAAAGAAGATGAATTAGCTTTTGTTTCCTTTTGCCAGTACAGTAAGTCGCTCATCGATGACAATACTAAAAATTCGGAGTTATTATTTATAGTCAAATATGTGCATAAATGGGCCAAAATTGCCTGATTTTTTGACAATTCAAAGTATAATTCAGGTCCGTTTTGTAATTTGGCCTAGTTTTTTAAAAGATAAACTATACATGAACAAAAAGGTTTGCCATTCTATTTTTTTGATGAAACTCGTTTCTAATGTTTATCGCGTTGTAACGGAAACGCCTTTGGTATGATTTATTCAAATTAAGGTCCTTCATTTTCCCTTTTTCATTTTTTGTGCCATTTACCCAACTTTGTTATTTTCCTGTTCTAGTGGAAACCTTCGTCACCAAATTGCACAGTGCCTACACGTTTGATTCTGAGGACCAAATTACACAAAACCAAATTGCTTCCAGCCTGTTGGAATCACTAAGCGATACTTTACACCGCCAGTTAGAAACCCAACGCCAACTGCTGAGTAAAGTTACATCTGCAGATCGCTTTAAAACTCACTGTCCGTGTATTAAAGAGCCAGAGACTGCACGACATGTAACACATAATAAAGCTTCTCCAAGACCCGAGGATTTAAGTTATGAACAACCAAGTCATAACAGCACGTGTGCAACCCATGATTTAAGTGGCAGTGGTACAGAAACAGACGTCAGCAGCTGTTTGGATTTTGACGGCATTTGTTGCGAGCAGAAACGGAAGCAGATGGCCAAATTGAGAAGTTCATTTTACAAGTTAGCGTGGCCGACAGTTGTCAGCTCGGAATCAGAACGGAAGCTCTGGAAGGTTTGTACCAGTTGGTTGTTCATTCAATTAGACCTCTTTTTTGGAGACTCGGATTTGAGTTCAGAAAATAAAATGAGTGCGCTTGTTTGTCAACATTTAATTTTTTTTTTCGATTTGAAGAAGCCTCGCCACTTTTGAATCTACAGCTTTAAAGTTTTATCTAATTTGGGAGTTTTTGGTGTCGTGAGTCATGGACGTAGTGAATCTTTTTATATATTCTGGGCGACATGCTGAATCTTTCCTCAAAATAAAATCAAAATAAAACGGTTGACGAAACCGTGCAATCTTTCTTTTGAAGCAAAATGATCACATTTCGGCAACAAGTTTACATTTGATTCTTCTCTAATTTGATTTTTCGTCTAAGCTTGAGAGAAAACCCAGTTTTGATCCAAAGACAAAAGGTATGTTCATGGATTGTCAACAGTTTTATTTTATTTGTCGACCTTAAAAGGCTGTGTTTTTCCAGAACTGTGAATGACATAAGGTACTTATTTTATTTTCATGAATTGTATTATGTGAAACTTGGATCCTTTTTTACGTTACTTTTGCAAAAAAATATATAAAACTTAAGTTCTAGGCATGTCATCAAATGCTGTTGCTATCTATCAGAGCAAACCTATGGATGGTGCAAATATTTAAAAATTTAATCTTAAAAAATTTTGCACATCAAAACGTTGCTGTTGCGTTTTCAATGTCGCCCGGTATAGGTCTTGGGGATTTTTGGTGTTTTTTTAGGAATAAGTCTTGAAAATTGTTCCCGCTAAAGTTTGATTTTTCGAGTTCGACTTGATTTGTTTTTAAGTTCACTTCATTTCCTCTGATAAAAGAAAGGCATACTCCTCTTTGGAACAAGATAATGAAAAACTTGATCTACTTCTGTTTTTGAAAATGGATCATAATTTTCAGATTTCCCAGCGAAATAAAAAATTTTTCCAATTGATCCAGTTCTCTGAAATTAGGTTAATTTTTTTTAAAAAAAAGAGTTAATTATATTTTTTCTTGAAATTGAAAGAACTTAAAGGCAATGTTTTTTTTGAAATTCGATAGTTTTTTTTCTCTGTTTCCTTGCGTTCATGACTTTTTCTTAATTGTCTGTTGGCTATCTTTACAATCATCGACTTGTATTAGTTCAGGTTTATTTCGAAAAACGATTTAATTACTTTTCTTTGCAAAACAGTTTACACTATCTTTGACTTTATTCCGTTGGAGTTGCTCGTTTTCCTCTCTTATCTAAATTAGGAACCCAAAATGAAAGTCAGATGAGCTCAAATTTATACAAAAATTATAGTTAAACTTTTTCTGAGGTGCAGTCAAATATTCGGGAAAACTTATCTCAATATGCTGCTCGCAAGAAATTTTGCCAATAGATTACGAGTTTTTGGGAAAGTCCGAAGATCGGATAATGTTATAAAAAATTATTTGAACACAATTTTTTTTTTTTTTTTTCAAACGTAACCGATTGCAGTGAAAAAAGCACAGTTAATTTTTAAATTCAATGCAAGATGATACAACCGCTGAGTATAATAAGCCTTTAAAGAATATTAACCAATCTTCCATATGTGATTTTGATGAGTTATTCGTCATTGAAATGATCTGACTAAATTTCACTCGCTCTTTGCTAATTTGGTGGCCAAATAGCAAAAGGATAAGACCAGTTTTTCTCGACACTGAGAGAATTTTTTTGAAATTTATTTTTCGAGGCCGAATTGCAAATGTTTTTTTTTTAAATCATAAAGCTTCCAATTGTGGAAGCTTAAATATGATTCCACAATTGGCGCCGATTTTGGCATTTTTATTTTGAGGTCATTGTTCGAGAGAAGTCTGAATACTGGCAGAAATGAAGCTTAAATAGTTTCCAGCTTGCGAAGAATGTTTTCCTAGCAGTATTTTGAACCAACATCTCTTGTCGCAAATGATAGCTGTAAATTTTGTTTAAGTGATTGTGAAACAAAAGAGCTCTTGGACGTTCGATAAATCACAATGAAAACCGATCAAACGTCATCTTTCTTTGTTCCGAGAACTCTTTTGTCATTAAGTTAACTATGTAATCAGTTTCAAGAAATTAGACCATAATCGGTCAGTTTATCAACTTTGTTTGACAGTCTTATACTTTTAAAGTATATTTGGATGGTATTATTGATATTATGTCAATGAGTATATTGATCTAATTTTAAGTCCAGCGGCGATTTAAATTTAAACCGGGCTTCCAGCGGCGGTGACTTTGAATGACGTTGTCTTTCAAGTTCCAGGTAACAACTTATTAGCTCAATCACAGTGGTTGTAATTTTCGTCCAAGGTAGACGTCGTATTTACGCATTATATAATTAGCAGGTGTTTGCGAGTGGTATTAAAATCACAAGAATTTTAATTGAAAACTGAGCCTCCAATCAAGCGAGTTTTGGACCAATTTTATCTAATTGCTGAGATTGTTCAGAATTTGTGCAAATTTGGAGCAAGAATTTGCAAAAAAATACTTGATTGCTTTTTAATCACTAAGTGAGAAATGTTTTGATAGATTACATACCAACTTATTTGAATTGAAAGCTATTACAAACATTTTAGTCTTTGTCATTTTTACGTAGATTGATATCTAACATTTATTCTTTCAATATGCCAAAACGAAAGAACAGTTTCCGAGAATTGGTTAAGCATAAAGTAATTGCGGTAAGTTGTATTTCACTTTTTGAGTGTCTTATTTTTCGCTTTAGGTGATATTAATGAAACTTTTTCAAATAATTTCAAATTTTTCGCAGCTTGACAGTCGACTGATTTTGTGGAATTTGAGTAAATTATTTTAAGTTTATTTTTTATGTTAATCTGAAAGTGTTTTTTGTCTATCTGAAAGAGTTTTGCAGCATAAAAACTATTTTTATTTTAATTTGATGTTAATATCTGAAAGAGTTAAAAAATAGAAAGCTGTTTTTTATTGAGTTAATCTTAGCGTTGATAAAGATTCACGATCAACTTCAATTTAAACTTTGTTTCAGACCATTTTCTCGACACTCAATGACTCCAAGCATAATTTCGATCACCAAATCCCCACATCTCCCACCGAGCTAGACCTCAGTTTCGATCCCCCGAGCCACTTCGACAAAGATGATGATATCACGAACGACTTGGACTCTCTTCAAGTTTCGGGACTCAACGAACGGAAACGAAGCCGGTCAGAATGCCAGCAGAACTGTAACAACAATCAACATAATAATAATAACAATAAGGTTTACTGCGCGAATCAGTTTCCGAGCAGATCTCGACACGAGAGCAAATCAGTTTCGACTGTTTCCTCTTCGCTTTTGGAAGAAGAAGCCAACTCGTTCCCACCAGCTGATGACGTCATTTCTGAAGACGAAGATGAAGTAATCGTGGATGACCCGATAGATTCTGCGTTGAATGATGGTGGAAGTAAAAAAGAAGTTGCACATGAAGATGATCAACGTAAAGGAGGTCACAATAATTTCACAGAAGAAAGTCGTGCGGTTCTGGCGTTGAGTGATGTCTCGGCGCTGTTAGTTTTCGACCGCAATGAAGAAGTAAGTTGAACATGATTATTTGTCAGCTTAACCCATTAATCACTCTAGCGTTATCTCTCTTCTTTTGCCCAGCCACCACGACCCCTCCCCTCACTTTCTGGCTTTTTTCTACCGACCCCCCCACACGCTTTTCCTCTCTCTGCATTTCAAATTTTCTATTATTAAATTTGTTATATGTGTTCCTATTTCTAAATGTGTCGTGATGTTACGTTGTAAAATATGAAAAACAATTCTGTTCACAAGAGTTAGTTTGCATTCTGACAGCGTTAAAATAGTTTTTGTATATTGAAATTCAAATGTGGAGGGGGTGGGGTGTAGAAAAGAGTCATTTTCACCTCGAAAATAGAACATCTCGAAATTTAAGCAAGACAAAATTTTAGCCTTAAAAAAATAATTCAACGCTATTGCATTTCGCACTGGTAAATAAGTCGGCTACTCAGAGCAACGAGTTAAATGTCGCGTTTCAAAAGTTGTAGGGCCCAGCGGAGGCTTAACGCAAAAGGAATCATTTTTTTTTAAATTTGAATTGAAAGAAAATCACTTTTTTGGAGAATCAAAAACAGGTTTTCCTGTAAAAATTAGGTTCATCGGAGTATCGAAGAAGTTATAGCAAAGCTAAAAAAAAGATGTCTACCCTAAAAATGCATGTCTACCCTAAGGTTGGGTATCCTAAAACAAGTATCACCGCTTTCTTTGAAAAAATATATATATATTTTTAAATGATCTAGGCAATTGTTTTCTTCGCTATTTTTTATAGAAAATTGTTTTGTTCAGTGACTTACGTGTATTCTAGAATCTAATTTTTTGAAAACAGATTTAATTTTATTAGTTGACTTTTCAGCCAGTGTCTTCATTCGACTACCATTCACAAAAGAGCAGAAGTGTGGACAACTTAGACGGGCCGCGTCCTACCAACCTCCTAGAACAGACAACACCCTCAAAACCTTCACGCATGAGCACTAAAAGAAGTATGAATGACCTTCTAGACAGCAAACGGGTGCTGTCATCCTCGTCTCCATATGAGTCATCGGCAGTGCCGCCTGTGCATTGTTCAGTGAGAGGCGGAACTGTTGATGCTCTCATAGCATATGCAACACAGGATGGAGTTAATGGTGAGATATGTTTTCAAAGCCAATCTCGGTAAACCTTCGTAGTTCGACTTAATTGCTGTGGCAAGAGCAGTTTTGACCTTATAAATGGGTTTGGTTTTATGCGATTATTAAGTGTCAAAATGTAATTGCAAAGAAATGCGGTAAAATCAAATTAATCGAGCTGTATCTGAGTTTTTTCAATTGAAAAAGGCCTGTATTCTGATTCATAGTTCAGACTCTTATATAAGTCGCGATGATTTTTTTCTTGTTTTTTTTAGGAATAGTCTTTAAATGTATTCAGACTCAGCATTACTTTTTCGCGGTTTGACTTTTGATTTTTTAATTTCAATTCATTTCTTTTGTAACAAGAAGGCAAACTTTAGGATCAAACAGCAAAAATGTAAAAGTCACGAAAAAAGTGAAAGACTTCTAGTTTCGAAAATGAAAAAATATTATAGAATTTTCCAGCTTAATAAATAACTATTAATCCAGTTTTCTCAAATTGAGTTTCAAAAAGGTGTCAATCATATTTTTTTCTAAATTCAAAGAGCTTTACGGACATCTTTTTTCTCTTTGAATTTTAGTTCGCTCGAAATTAGACTAAAACTTCAAAATTTCAAATCGGTTTTTCTCGATACCGAGATATTTTTTGAAAAATATTGTTCGAATCACGACTGAAAGGGCTTTAATTTGATATATCACTCAACCCATTTCGATGGTTGTTCGTGGTACTTGATTTTTGGGGGAAAAGAATACTCAAATTGTAGTACTGATAACTAACATTGGCTACCGGAATCTGAAACTAATTGCGGTCATTTTAGATATCTTTCCCACATATAGGAAAATCTGAATTTTGATCAGAAAATTGTAATGGTAGAAGCTGTTTTGTTTAGACTGGCGTTTCTACGAGGCCTTCCTGACTACATACCGCACCTTCGTGTCAGTAGATGAACTATTGAATCGACTCCTATTCCGATACGCGATGCTGCACCCCCAACATAGCGGACCAATTAGAGGGGGAGGCGCCTTTGGGGAGAGAGAGCGAGAGAAAAGAATGAGAATTTCCAAAAACTGTTTCTTTCTATTCGTCAGAATTTCCTGGGAACTCAAGTAAGTGTTTATGCTGAAATTGTATTTTTGTTCTAAAAGTACAAAAATACTTGAATCAGAAAAACAACAAAATCAGTTGAATCATTTCTGCAGCATTCAATTCTGCAGCATTCAGTTCTGCCGCAACCAAACAAGCTCAATTTCTTGAAAATTGAAATTTAACTACTGGCTGAGTACTAGCTACTACTGGGCAGTTTCAGGGGGGATTTGAAACTTTTTCAGGTTTTTTTACATAGTAAGTTTTTGTCGGCTCTACTGGTGTCTGCTCAAAGATTGTCGGCCTTGTTCCCGCTTCGTAAGTTTTGTCCAGTTGCTAATTTGAATTTTAATTTTTTGCTTGGCCTGTTTGCCTAGAATTCCTTTTTGATAAAAACAGGTATTATGAAAGTGCAAGGGTTTTTGTTTTTGTGAGACCCGTTGGAAAATTTAAATACTTTTTGCAAAAAAAAAATATTTTTTTTCCCCCAAAAACCTTTCTACTGAGTTTCAAAAAAGGGGTAAAAATAGGAAGACCGCCTACGTTTTTGTGTGCCTGCATACTCCCCCTGGTCTCTTTTTGCTTTCCTTTTTGTCTACAGCCTTCGAAAACCTCCGTGGAGGGAATACTTAACCGATGTTTTAAAAAAGTTGAAAACTCTCCTCAATAAGTGATTATGCCGAAAATTTTTTTCACTTGAGATTATGGTCCACGGAAGTTTTGATTTTTTGAGCGCTTTTGAAATCTTTTTTTTTTCTCAAAAACTAAGCTCCTAAACCTGAGGTTGTGGGTTCAATGGAAGTAGCGGGTAGTGGGAAGCTCCCCGGGTATAGCTTTTGACCGTTTTGATTTTTGACCGTTTTTTTAAGCTTTTAGACTTTTCTCGAGAACTACCCGGTCAAACCTTGGTTTTTGGGTGCAATCGAACTAACAGATTGCGTGAATTTCTTCTACATAAGCGGCTACGCCCAATTTTTTTTTAAAACAAAAAATTATGATTTTCGGAATTGTCAGCTCTCTTATTTAATGACCGTTTCTTGGTCCTTTCTCGATTACTATCCTGCCAGAACTGATATTATATGTTTAATCGATCTAATGGGTTGTTGTACGCTTAACGTTTTCTTTTGCTACGCCCAGTTTTTGCTAAAAAAAGTTATGGCTTTTAAACAAGTGAAAGTTTTGAAAATAGAACCGTTTTTTGGAAGTTTTTCTTAGTCGACTCGAAAATTACTTGTCAATTCTCAGGTTAAGTGTTCAATCAAGAAGCACGGTTTTGGGAATTTTCCCTACCTTACCGGCCACGATATGCTTTTAGCAGAAAAAAAACTTAATGACTTTTGATCTTTGACCATTTTATAGAACTTTTTGAGTTTTCTTAAAAATTACCCTATCAAATCTGAGATGAAATTTTCAATCGAAAAAAGCGGTTTGCCTGAATTTTTCCTGCAGAAGCGGCTGCTTCTTAACTTTTTTGTAAGAAAAAGGCTAGGCGTTTGGGAAGTTTCCAAATTCTCCAAAATTTTTACTCTTACTTTGAACAATGTCTTTTTTTTTGAAATTACACATTTCATCCCGCGTCAGTATAACAAAATCAAAAAATATTAATTACTAAATCCAGCTTTAGCTGAGCCCTAGCTTCGCCTCTTTGCCCAGCTTCGCTTCGCCTCTGTGTAGCAAAATGCTTCTTCAGCAAAAGAAGTCAATTTTGAAGCTTTTTCAAAAGTGAAGCCAAGATTACGTTGATCTTTTTTGATTTCGAATGAAAATTCCTAGTCATGAAAATGCTCAGAGGTGTTATTGGTATGGCCTGTCTTCGTTCGTTCTCTTCACTTTATGAGCCAAATCAGATAAGATGACCTTACGTTGTCTTAAGTAACTTTTTAAAATGTATGTTAAGTTTTAAAACGTTGTGTTAAGTTTTAAAACGTTATGTGAAGTTTTAAAACGTTATGTAAAGTTTTAAAACGTTAAGTAACTTTTTAGAAATGTGAATTTTTAAAACGTTGTGTAACTTTTTAGACATGTCGTTACTTTTAAACGTATTACATGCATTTCAGACGTGATACGGAGCTGGACCAAGTGCTTCCTCTCATCTCCAAGTTCTGCTCTCTACTCCAATCTGTGGCAGAGAGTAAAGACGCAGCCCTGCTAAGTGGTCTGATGAAGACGAGGTCCAGCGAAATGACGAACAACTCTCCCTCTCCGAGTGAGCAGCAGGATCTGAATAGCAGTAGTAGTAGCTGGAACACTACTGCATCACAAATACCAGTGCCAAGGTCACCTCTTATACCCCAATCGCCAAATCCAAACAGGTAAGATTCATTGAATCAATCAATCTCTAAAAATTATTGTAAAAACCGTTGTATAATTAATCGACATTAATGTAATTTGGGTAAACAGCAGTAAAAGGTTTGAATCCGCAAAAGATTTGCAAAAATCCGTTTGAAAAATTGTATACCTGCTTATTTTTGTCAGCTAAGTCGCCACAACCTAGATATTTAAACAATTGTCACTATAATTTAAAGCCATTTTGATTTATTGTTGTAGTTTGTAAATCTACAAACCTCGATTTTGTTTAATTTCTTATTTCTATCGGTCATTTTTTTGTTTTAATGGATTATTCGACTTAAATGATTTCGGCTTATCTTCTCTCATGGAAAGTACAAATCGTTAAACATTAACTAGAAACTGCCTGCATGAAATAATAAAATGCTTTAAAAATACAGAATGAAATTTTATACAATTAATATTCATTTTAATGAATACGTAGATTAGATAGAAATATAGAGTTGTTTATTCAGAGCGCGTCACTTGGTTGATCTGAAGACCCGTGCGATAGCCGAGCAGCTGACACTCATGTGTTCACAGCTGTTCCAGAAAGTAGAATTAAGCGAAGTGCTAGCCTGTGCCAAACAGTACAGAGAAGAACAGATGCCGAATGTAGTTGCATTTACTAGACATTGGAACCAGTTGTCGGGATGGGTTGGCACTCAAGTGTTGCGAGAGACTTCGGATAGACAGCTTAGAGAGAGAACACACCTGAAGCTCATCAAAGTGGCTAAGGTAAACTATTCTAAAAGACGCAATAGCGGGTCAAGTAAGACCCGATCAGAAAAGAATCAGATTGAAGTTATTGGCTACGGAATTCCGATTTATCGGAATTACAGAAGACGCAAAAGTGGATACTGGGTAATTGAATGAAGCTAACATCGTTTTTCGCAGTTAAGCTAGATAGTAATCGGACTTTTATTCGAAATCTGAGCAGAGAATAGTTTCAATCTAAAAGACGCGGCGTTGGAAAACTAAACGAATCAAAAACTGTCTTTTTTGGTGTTCTACTTAGTTCTTCTTTCTATTGTTCAGAGTTGTGTAAATAATAATCGAATATGTTCCCTTTTTGAAAACGAATTCATAATTTTTGTTTGAAAAATAAGATTTTGAGGTGAGCTTGGTGTTGATGATGTATCGTATGTCGTGTATTTTAGCGTCTGAGCGAGATGAACAACTTCAGTTCGTGTTTCGCAGTGCTCTGTGGTTTGAACACACACCCTGTCGCCAGATTGGACTGGCCCAAGACATCCTTAGAAGTAAGTTTACATATATTAAAGCTGCTATTATGTCGTTAACTCATAAACTTAACAGTATCAAGTCAATGGCTTTTGAGTTTAAGACGCTTGGACATCCCTCTAGATGCTTGGACATCAATTAGTTGCGGTTGCGAATCCCATAGGGAGCGATACATTTTTTTCAAGGACTGAATCTCAGAATAGGGGGCCGAAAATAATCTTTGGGGGGGGGAGAGCTTGTAGATTTTCGCTCATTTTTATGATGGGGTTCAAAGTTATCAGGGGTTAAATTTTGAATATCGTGCCAAAATGAACATTAAAATTGATAAGAATTTCTTTTTAATTTGATCAGACATTATTTTTTGAGATGAAAGTCTAGTTATTATATGAAGCTCCTAAGAACGGCATGTTTTTCAAGCATTTTGGGTATAAATTTTATGATTTGGGTAGAGGTCGATATTCTAAGAGGTGAAGTCTGTGAAGAAGTTAATTTGTGTTGCGGTTAACGGAGGGGGTTTGACAATGAACTAGTGCAGTAGCGTTCTTCCCATGCATTTTATGTACCCATGCATTTTATGTAAATCGATTTTTATTAGCCTAAGTGAACTGTAATTTTGACTGCGTGTACGGCTTACGCCAAATTGTTGGCAAAATTATTTTCGCTCAATGAATCTGAACGATGTTAATTGACCTGACTGCTCATTTTGACGTCAGATTTTAATTTCTCGCCAATTTCCCCACGTAAAAACCATTTACAAAAACTAATTTACCTTAAATGCTTTAGGTTTTGAACGATTAATTTGCCCAAGGTCACCGATATTGCCAACAATTTGGCATTAAGTATACAAACATGGGTAGTGTTTTGTGCCGTTTAGATGTTGTCGAATATGAGTGAGCTGCTGAGTCCGTTTCATCACTTTGGGAACTACAGAGAGGCTCTCGCCACCGCACAAGGAGCGTGCATACCACATCTGTGAGTTGTAGTTCTTTCACAATTGTGAGTTGATGTCATAATTTTGTTGTTAAGCGAATAAAAAACTGCTTTTAAATACATAGACGCAAGTTAAAAAGACTGCGATAGCTGTTTAAGTATGACAGAGACGTCTGAAATCAAGCATGATCTGTCTCTTGACGAACTCTTTGACTGTGTTCTTTGAAAGTGATTATTTATAAAAATTAATTTGATGAATGTGGACCTATCCTGGAAAGAATACATTATGATCGTGATTGTTATTAAGTGTGGCTTAGGTATCAATCTTTTAGTGGCAAAGGTCTGTAGTATGAGGCGCACCATAATTTGTGGTCTTTCTTGCTTGAGAATCAGGCAGCATATCACAGCTCAGAAAAATAACAAAGTTACATGTTGGTCTCAGCCAGAGTCACAACAGCGGTTCTCTCTAAAGAGCTGTAAACAGCTCGTTAGTTTTTTTCTTGTGTAAAGCTGGTCTTAGACTTAGTTTTGAAAGTATAAAAAAGTTATAATTAAAGCGAAGCAATGGAAATACTTTCATATAGCCTGTGAATTGCTTAGCAGAAGAAATTTACTGAAAGTTTTTTTCTTCAAAAATACCTGTTTTTAGAGCCATTGTGCTGCACGATCTACAGCAGATTGCAGTGATGCCGGACCATCTCGAAATAGAATCCCAACTGGAGTCGGGACTAGGTCGGGGATCGAACCCGGGTGGGAGAAGTCGGAAAGTGATTAACTTTTCCAAGCGCTGGCATCAGTATCTTTGTTTAGTCAAACTGAGAGATAGCGGATCTATGTACGTATTCTGTCTTTGAAAAAAAAAACTATTAGTGAATGACTTTGGAGAAAGTTTTGGCTTTTGCATTTCAACATTCGAAATTTGTAAAGATTTGAAACAACGGTTTCAAAATATCATGGATATTGTCATGCTGAGGGAATAAAGCATTCTAACCTTAGCTGTTCTTCAAATCTAACATAGCATTTTACTCTGATCTCCAGAAATGCTCAAAAAGTACTATAAAAATGGAAATTTTGAAAATTGGGTTGAGGTGGTTTGTTTAGAAAAGAGCGAAGTATAATGTATTGCACGTGCCAAAGATAGGTTGGAAGACAATAGTAGGTTGACTGTACGCTTTGATTGCATATTGTACTGAATAAGGGCTTCAATGAACTGTTACAAAAGAAATATTTTGAAAAAACTTCAGCTTTTCAACAAGTAAATTTCTTACATTAAAAGTCTTTTGGCGCATTAAATACCGATCTCAACTAATCAATATTTGGGAAAGTTAGTAAACAATTCTTATGTAATGTTTCAGGCACTATCATCTGAAGGAAAACCGGGATGTTGCCAATTGCTTAAGTGGCCTAGAACTGTGTCTAGAGGAAAGCGAACTCCATAAACTATCCTGTTATATCAAGCCCAAAAGAACTTAATTTATTTTGATTGTTTAATTTAGTTTCTTGTTTTGTAAAGTAGATAGCTTTGAAATCAATTAGTCTTGAATCCTAGTAATTTTTCCAACTCTCGTAAACAGCCAAAGGATCTCCTGAATTTCAGATAATATCAGAAAATAGTTCTTTGCGATGTCAGAAAGTTGAAAATAACCTACATAACAAACTGACATGATGTCAATGTTCTTCATCCAGTCATGGGACATAGAAGCAGCAATTTTGTGATTTTCATGAGCGATTGAACGAATTTTTTCTTCATGTTTTTGTATTGTCTACAATTATTAAGATATATGGTTGAAATTTTGACAAATTATTAGCTTAAACTTTTAATGAAGGACTTAGCTGGTGCAGAATTTGAAAATTTTTGTTTGAAGGCGTGAAATATTTTGTATAGCATGACTAATTTTAGAGGTGTTATTGCTGTGGAAGGATATTCGCAAACAAGAAAGGAATTTGGAGTTATTGATTAAAATTGGTTGGTTGGGAAGTAAACGTTGTTGTTGTTGTTAATTGTCCACAAGGGGCGCGTCATGCGAGCTCTGCCCGAATTTTAGGATCGTTGCTACTTCGACCGGCCGTGGCCACAGGTCTATTGAGATCAGTACAGTCGGTTTTGTTGGGGGTAGTTAAAAAAATGGAGGGTAATATGGGCGGACGGACAGTGGGAACAGTTAGGGGGACATTATGATCTATCTTATAAAGATCTGTTTTTAGAAAGGGCTGGCTGGGAGCAGCCGGATCTGAGCTGATCTAATTGAGCATGGGAGCATTTTCTCAGTCGACGAAATATCAGTCAGGTGTTGCGGGAGAACTTTGGGAGCGAGCGCATCGTTGCTTGCATTGGTTACGCTGTTTGTAGTTATCATTTTACAACCATCATTAAACGAGGTGAAATCTTTTCTCTCAAATTTTTTTGTCAAGTTTTTTTTTTTTTTTAGAAATTATGAAAGAAATAAAGTAGCTAAGAGTTTATAATGCTGTTTCACGGAAATTATTTTGCATTCAGTGTGTAAGCAGTATGTAAGTGATCAATGGAGCTTATCTTGCTGTGCTTTAAACGATTTGTAATTTGCTAAGGGAGGTATTGCTTGTAGCTTGGGAAAAAACGAGGCAGGAATTATCGAGTATTGGGCTCATTAAGGCTTTGAACGTTAGAAGCAATGTTTCCTTCGATTGTCCCCAGTTAGTCGCGGGAAAAGCTTTCAGGATCGATATCCTGCGCACAGCCCTCGTGGCGGTTTGCTTTAACGCTCCGCAAACTTGAGAGACGGGTCAAATTTTGTCTGAGTAATTTTAGATGTTTTTCGACCGGAAGAACCAAGGAATCCATTGAGACAGTTGGCGTACAGTTAAACTCTTCATGGTGGTAGCTAAACAAGCTAACGGAACCTATCAAAGAGAAAAATAAAAGAAGAACAGATTTTGTTGTTTTGTTTCGATCATCAGAGCAAAAACTATATAACATCAGTCGAATTAACGCATTCAATTGTTTTGTTCTGTCGTTTTTTGACGGCATAAGAGTGAGGCAATCTCATTGGCTTCCCCAGGAGCTATTTTTACTCCATAAATTAAAATTCCTTTTTTTTGCAAAATATTTCCTCAGCAAGAACACCTCTGAAACGAATTGAATTATGATATACTGCCTCTTTACGCCTTCAAACTTTTCAATTTTTGACCCGCCTAAGTCGTTCCAATTAGTTTGATCTAGCAATTTAGCTAGACAGTAATCGGACTTGTATTTGAAATCTGAGCTGAGAGTTTTGAATAGATTCAATCTAAAAGACGCGGCGTTGGAAAACAAAACCAATCAAAAACTGACTTTAAGTGTTTTTTTTAAGTTCTTCTTTTTATCGTTCAGAGTTGTGTAAATAATAATCGAATCTGTTCCCTTCTTGAAAACGCATTTGTAATTCTTAGTGTTGATGATGTATCGTATGTCGTGTATTTTAGCGTCTGAGCGAGATGAACAAGTTCGTGTTTCGCAGTGCTCTGTGGTTTGAACACACACCCTGTCGCCAGATTGGACTGGCCCAAGACATCCTTAGAAGTAAGTTTACGGGGCTAGGAAATTAGACGATGAGCAAATTAGACGGATGCTACAAAAACGAAATTAGACGGAATTTATTTTTTACAGATCTGGCATTTTAGACGAAGCTATGAAAAGGAAAGGGCCAACAAAATTTTTTCTTAAGAGTCAAGTTTCACAAATACAAAAAGAACATTAAATGTCAATAGCTATCAAAACAGTTAGTTTAAATGAACAAAAAATGTCAAATCCGAATATTACAAGAGAGTTTTGAAATGAATAAATTATGCATGATTGACTTGTAAAATTTTTGGCTGCCGAAATTTAACTGTTGTCTACAAACAATTATATTTTTCTCGCGCAATTTGTCTGCAAACAATATTTATCTCTCTCACTTTCGTCTATTTTCTCACAATTGCAGTTATGCAAAATCGTCTATGTTCCTTTTAAGTACCTCCGTCTAATTTGCTTATCGTCTAATTTCTCAACCCCCTAAGTTTACATATATTAAAGCTGCTATTATGTCCGTAACTCATAAATTTAACAGTATCAAATCAATGGCTTTTGAGTTTAAGACGCTTGGACATTCCTCTAGATGCTTGGACATCAATTAGTTGCGGTTTCGAATCCCATAGGGAGCGAAAATTTTGATACATTTTTTTTTTCGAGGACTGAATCTCCGAATCGGGGGTCGAAAATAACCTTTGGGGGGGAGGGGGGATTAGGGAGGAGAGAGCTTGTAGATTTTTTGCTCATATTTATTGCGGGGTTCAAAGTTATCAGGGGTTAAATTTTGAATATCGTGCCAAAATGAACATTAAAATTGATAAGAATTTCTTTTAATTTGATCAGACATTATTTTTTGAGATGAAAGTCTAGTTTTTATATGAATCTCTTAAACTATTTAGGTTTTGAACGATTAATTTGCTCAAGGTCACCGATATTGGCAACAATTTGGCATTAACTATACAAATATGGGTAGTGTTTTGTGCCGTTTAGATGTTGTCGAATATGAGCGAGCTGCTGAGTCCGTTTCATCACTTTGGGAACTACAGAGAAGCTCTCGCCACCGCACAAGGAGCCTGCATACCACATCTGTGAGTTGTAGTTCTCTTACAATTCTGAGTGGATGTCATAAGTTTGTTGTTAAGCGAATAAAAAACTGCTTTTTTATACATAGACGCATGTTAAAAAGACTGCGATAGCCATTTAAGTATGACAGAGACGTCTGAAATCAGGCATGATCTGTCTCTTGACGAACTCCTTGACTGTGTTCTTTGAAATTGATTATTTATCAAAATTAATTTGATGAATGTGGACCTATACTGAAACATATTATGATCGTGATTATTATTAAGTGTGGCTTATGTATCAATCATTCAGTCGCAAAGGTCTGTAGTATGAGGCGCACCATAATTTGTGGTCTTTCTTGCTTGAGAATCAGGCAGCATATCACAGCTCAGGAAAATAACAAAGTTACATGTTGGTTCTCTCTAAAGAGCTGTAAACAGCTCGTTAGTTTTTTTCTTGTATGAAGCTGGTCTCAGACTTAGTTTTGAAAGTATAAAAACAACACAAAAGCCAAAACATTGGAGAAAGTTTTGGCTTTTGCATTTCAGCATTAGAAATTTGTAAAGATTTGAAACAACGGTTTCAAAATATCATGGATATTGTCATGCTGAGGGAATAAAGCATTCTAACCTTAGCTGTTCTTCAAATCTAACATAGCATTTTACTCTGATCTCCAGAATTGCTCAGAAAAGTACTATAAAAATGAAAATTTTGAAAATTGGGTTGAGTGAGTTGGTTTAGAAAAGAGCGAAGTATAATGTATTGCACGTGCCAAAGATAGGTTGGAAGACAATGGTAGCTTGACTGTACGCTTTGATTGCATTTTGTACTGAATAAGGGCTTCAATGAACTGTTAAAAAAGAAAATTTTTGAAAAAACTTCAGCTTTTAAACAAGTAAATTTCTTGCATTGAAAGTCTTTTGGCGCAATAAATACCGATCTCAACTAATCAATATTTGGGAAAATTAGTAAACAATTCTTCATCTGCAGGAAAACCGGGATGTTGCCAATGGCCTAGAACTGTGTCTAGAGGAAAGCGAACTCCATAAACTATCCTGTTATATCAAGCCCAAAAGAACTTAATTTATTTTGATTGTTTAATTTAGTTTCTTGTTTTGTAAAGTAGATAGCTTTGAAATCAATGAGTCCTGAATCCTAGTACTTTTTCCAACTCTCGTAAACAACCAAAGGATCTCCTGAATTTCAGATGTTATCAGAAAATAGTTCTTTGCGATGTCAGAAAGTTGAAAATTACCTACATAACAAACTGACATGATGTCAATGTTCTTCATCCAGTCATGGGACATAGAAGTAGCAATTTTGTGATTTTCATGAGCGATTGAACGAATTTTTTCTTCACGTTTTTGTATTGTCTACAATTATTAAGATATATGGTTGAAATTTTCACAAATTATTAGCTTAAACTTTTAATGAAGGACTTAGCTGGTGCAGAATTTGAAAATTTTTGTTTGAAGGCGTGAAATATTTTGTATAGCATGACTAATTTTAGAGGTGTTATTGCTGTGGAAGGATATTCGCAAACAAGAAAGGAATTTGGAGTTATTGGTTAAAATTGGTTGGTTGGGAAGTTAACGTTGTTGTTGTTGTTAATTGTCCACAAGGGGCGCGTCATGCTAGCTCTGCCCGAATTTTAGGATCGTTGCTACTTCGACCGGCCGTGGCCACAGGTCTATTGAGATCAGTACAGTCCGTTTTGTTGGGGGCAGTTAAAAAAAATGGAGGATAATATGGGCGGACGGACAGTGGGAACAGTTAGGGGGGACATTATGATCTATCTTATAAAGATCTGTTTTTAGAAAGGGCTGGCTGGGAGCAGCCGGATCTGAGCTGATCTAATTGAGCATGGGAGCATTTCCTCAGTCGACGAAATATCAGTCAGGTGTTGCGGGAGAACTTTGGGAGCGAGCGCATCGTTGCTTGCATTGGTTACG